AGTCCAGCAGTCTTCTGCTTGTCTGGGGTCTTCCCCCCCGCCCCCCCCCCCCCCCCCCCCTCCATTTTGTGTTTGAACAAGCCCTCCAGGGGATTCTGATGCTTGCTGTTGCTTTCTTTTTCTTTTCTTTTCTTTTTTTTGAGTAGCATTTAATTTAATTTACTTTAATTGTTACATTCTAAGATGTTGTTGCGGAGGGGTGGCCCATGGGTGGCTCATTTGCTGCCTGGTTGCTGATGGTGGGGGTGGGGCTTCTGGCAGAGGCTCCATCTTGGCTGGTCTGGTTCTGTTTCTTCTTGACTTACGTATGTTTGGGAGTAGTACAGAGTATAGGGATCTGAACCGTTGATCTTGGTGTTGTAACATGGTGCTCTAACCAGCTGGGCTAACCAGCCAGCCTTGACTTACTTTTGTTAATGTGTATTTTTCTGAGAATTTGTCCATTTCATCTAGGTTATCTAATTTATTAGCATACAATTGTTCATAGTATTCTTTTATATTTCTGTAAGATTGATGTTCCTTTTTCATTTCTTTTTTTTTTTTTTTCCACTTTTTGTCTTTTTTTCGTGACCGGTAATGGGATCACAACCCTCGGTGTCGCGCCCACACCGCGCTCAACCAGTGAGCGGACCGGTCTGTATATGGGATCCGAACCCTCAGCGGGAGCGCCGCCGCACTCCCAAGCACTGCACTCTACCGAGTGCGCCACTGGGCCGGCCCCCTTTTTCATTTCTGATTGTGGTAATTTGAGCCTTTTCTATCCTTTTTTTCTTGGTCAATCTAGCTAAGTCAATTTTTTTTTTTTTAAATTTTATTTTGTCGATATACAATAAGGTTGATTATTGTGTCCCATTACCGAAACCCCCTTCCCTCCTCCCTCTCCCCCCTCCCACCCAACAATGTCCTTTCTGTTTGCTTGTCGTATCAACTTCAAAGAATTGTAGTTGTTAAGTCTTCTTCCCCCCCACCCCTGGTGTGTGTGTGTGTGTGTGTGAATTTATTTATTTATTTTTAACTCCCACCAATAAGTGAGAACATGTGGTATTTCTCTTTCTGTGCCTGACTTGTTTCACTTAATATAATTCTCTCAAGGTCCATCTATGTTGTTGCAAATGGCAGTATTTCATTCATTTTTATAGCTGAGTAGTATTCCATTGTGTAGATATACCACAATTTCTGTATCCACTCATCCGATGATGGACATTTGGGCTGGTTCCAACTCTTGGCTATTGTAAAGAGTGCTGTGATGAACATTGGGGAACAGGTATACCTTCGACTTGATGCTTTCCCTTGCTCTGGGTATATTCCCAGCAGTGGGATAGCTGGGTCATATGGTAGATCTATCTGCAATTGTTTCAGAAACCTCCATACCATTTTCCATAGAGGCTGCAGTCCCACCAGCAATGTATGAGAGTTCCTTTTTCTCCGCAATCTCACCACCATTTATCGTTCACAGTCTTTTGAATGTTAGCCATCCTAACTGGGGTGAGATGGTATCTCAGTGTAGTTTTGATTTGCATTTCCCGGATGCTGAGTGATGTTGAGCCTTTTTTCATATGTCTGTTTGCCATTTGTATATCTTCCTTAGAGAAATGCCTACTTAGCTCTTTTGCCCATTTTTTAATTGGGTTGCTTGTTTTTTTCTTGTAAAGTTGTTTGAGTTCCTTGTATATTCTGGATATTAATCCTTTGTCAGATGTATATTTTGCAAATATTTTCTCCCACTCTGTTGGTTGTCTTTTAACTCTGTTAATTGTTTCTTTTGCTGTGCAGAAGCTCTTTAGTTTGATATAATCCCATTTGTTTATTTTTCCTTTGGTTGCCCGTGCTTTTGGGGTCGTGTTCATGAAGTCTGTGTCCAGTCCTATTTCCCAAAGTGTTTCTCCTATGTTTTCTTTAAGAAGTTTTATTCTTTCAGGGTGTTATATTTAAATCCTTAATCCTTTTTGAGTTGATTTTAGTATATGGTGAGAGGTATGGGTCTAGTTTCATTCTCCTGCATATGGATATCTAGTCTCCCAGCACCATTTGCTACAGAGGCAGTCCCTTCCCCAGTGAATAGGCTTGGTGCCTTTGTCAAAGATCAGATGGCAGTA